TCGCTGGTTGAGCTCCGGCAGGCTTTCTCTGTGGCTTGCCAGTTTTTGGAGCGAAAACTTTTCTTTTTCCGCGCAATTTCCACAAAAGAGGGTAAAAACCTCGACTTCGACAGAATTTCAGCCACAGAAAATGCCTTTGCCCCCGGAAAAAAGACCCAGCATAGAAGCTGTGGTCTCGCTGGTTGAGTTCCGGCAGGCTTTCTCTGTGGCTCGCCAGTTTTTGGAGCGAAAACTTTTCTTTTTCCCCGCAATTTCCACAAAAGAGGGTAAAAACCTCGATTTCGACAGAATTTCAGCCACAGAAAATGCCTTTGCCCCCAGAAAAAAGACCCAGCATAGAAGCTGTGGTCTCGCTGGTTGAGCTCCGGCAGGCTTTCTCTGTGGCTCGCCAGTTTTTGGAGCGAAAACTTTTCTTTTTCCCCGCAATTTCCACAAAAGAGGGTAAAAACCTCGATTTCGACAGAATTTCAGCCACAGAAAATGCCTTTGCCCCCAGAAAAAAGACCCAGCATAGAAGCTGTGGTCTCGCTGGTTGAGCTCCGGCAGGCTTTCTCTGTGGCTTGCCAGTTTTTGGAGCGAAAACTTTTCTTTTTCCGCGCAATTTCCACAAAAGAGGGTAAAAACCTCGACTTCGACAGAATTTCAGCCACAGAAAATGCCTTTGCCCCCGGAAAAAAGACCCAGCATAGAAGCTGTGGTCTCGCTGGTTGAGTTCCGGCAGGCTTTCTCTGTGGCTCGCCAGTTTTTGGAGCGAAAACTTTTCTTTTTCCGCGCAATTTCCACAAAAGAGGGTAAACCTCGATTTCGACAGAATTTCAGCCACAGAAAATGCCTTTGCCCCCGGAAAAAAGACCCAGCATAGAAGCTGTGGTCTCGCTGGTTGAGCTCCGGCAGGCTTTCTCTGTGGCTCGCCAGTTTTTGGAGCGAAAACTTTTCTTTTTCCCCGCAATTTCCACAAAAGAGGGTAAAAACCTCGATTTCGACAGAATTTCAGCCACAGAAAATGCCTTTGCCCCCAGAAAAAAGACCCAGCATAGAAGCTGTGGTCTCGCTGGTTGAGCTCCGGCAGGCTTTCTCTGTGGCTTGCCAGTTTTTGGAGCGAAAACTTTTCTTTTTCCGCGCAATTTCCACAAAAGAGGGTAAACCTCGATTTCGACAGAATTTCAGCCACAGAAAATGCCTTTGCCCCCGGAAAAAAGACCCAGCATAGAAGCTGTGGTCTCGCTGGTTGAGATTCGGCAGGCTTTCTCTGTGGCTCGCCAGTTTTTGGAGCGAAAACTTTTCTTTTTCCCCGCAATTTCCACAAAAGAGCTTAAAAACCTCGATTTCGACAGAATTTCAGCCACAGAAAATGCCTTTGCCCCCAGAAAAAAGACCCAGCATAGAAGCTGTGGTCTCGCTGGTTGAGCTCCGGCAGGCTTTCTCTGTGGCTCGCCATTTTTGGAGCGAAAACTTTTCTTTTTCCCCGCAATTTCCACAAAAGAGGGTAAAAACCTCGATTTCGACAGAATTTCAGCCACAGAAAATGCCTTTGCCCCCAGAAAAAAGACCCAGCATAGAAGCTGTGGTCTCGCTGGTTGAGCTCCGGCAGGCTTTCTCTGTGGCTTGCCAGTTTTTGGAGCGAAAACTTTTCTTTTTCCGCGCAATTTCCACAAAAGAGGGTAAAAACCTCGATTTCGACAGAATTTCAGCCACAGAAAATGCCTTTGCCCCCGGAAAAAAGACCCAGCATAGAAGCTGTGGTCTCGCTGGTTGAGATTCGGCAGGCTTTCTCTGTGGCTCGCCAGTTTTTGGACCGAAAACTTTTCTTTTTCCCCGCAATTTCCACAAAAGAGGGTAAAAACCTCGATTTCGACAGAATTTCAGCCACAGAAAATGCCTTTGCCCCCGGAAAAAAGACCCAGCATAGAAGCTGTGGTCTCGCTGGTTGAGTTCCGGCAGGCTTTCTCTGTGGCTCGCCAGTTTTTGGAGCGAAAACTTTTCTTTTTCCGCGCAATTTCCACAAAAGAGGGTAAACCTCGATTTCGACAGAATTTCAGCCACAGAAAATGCCTTTGCCCCCGGAAAAAAGACCCAGCATAGAAGCTGTGGTCTCGCTGGTTGAGCTCCGGCAGGCTTTCTCTGTGGCTTGCCAGTTTTTGGAGCGAAAACTTTTCTTTTTCCCCGCAATTTCCACAAAAGAGGGTAAAAACCTCGATTTCGACAGAATTTCAGCCACAGAAAATGCCTTTGCCCCCAGAAAAAAGACCCAGCATAGAAGCTGTGGTCTCGCTGGTTGAGCTCCGGCAGGCTTTCTCTGTGGCTTGCCAGTTTTTGGAGCGAAAACTTTTCTTTTTCCGCGCAATTTCCACAAAAGAGGGTAAAAACCTCGATTTCGACAGAATTTCAGCCACAGAAAATGCCTTTGCCCCCAGAAAAAAGACCCAGCATAGAAGCTGTGGTCTCGCTGGTTGAGCTCCGGCAGGCTTTCTCTGTGGCTCGCCAGTTTTTGGAGCGAAAACTTTTCTTTTTCCGCGCAATTTCCACAAAAGAGGGTAAAAACCTCGATTTCGACAGAATTTCAGCCACAGAAAATGCCTTTGCCCCCAGGAAAAAGGCCCAGCATAGAAACTGTGGTCTCGCTGGTTGAGCTCCGGCAGGCTTTCTCTGTGGCTCGCCAGTTTTTGGAGCGAAAACTTTTCTTTTTCCCCGCAATTTCCACAAAAGAGGGTAAAAACCTCGATTTCGACAGAATTTCAGCCACAGAAAATGCCTTTGCCCCCAGAAAAAAGACCCAGCATAGAAGCTGTGGTCTCGCTGGTTGAGCTCCGGCAGGCTTTCTCTGTGGCTTGCCAGTTTTTGGAGCGAAAACTTTTCTTTTTCCGCGCAATTTCCACAAAAGAGGGTAAAAACCTCGACTTCGACAGAATTTCAGCCACAGAAAATGCCTTTGCCCCCGGAAAAAAGACCCAGCATAGAAGCTGTGGTCTCGCTGGTTGAGTTCCGGCAGGCTTTCTCTGTGGCTCGCCAGTTTTTGGAGCGAAAACTTTTCTTTTTCCGCGCAATTTCCACAAAAGAGGGTAAACCTCGATTTCGACAGAATTTCAGCCACAGAAAATGCCTTTGCCCCCGGAAAAAAGACCCAGCATAGAAGCTGTGGTCTCGCTGGTTGAGCTCCGGCAGGCTTTCTCTGTGGCTCGCCAGTTTTTGGAGCGAAAACTTTTCTTTTTCCCCGCAATTTCCACAAAAGAGGGTAAAAACCTCGATTTCGACAGAATTTCAGCCACAGAAAATGCCTTTGCCCCCAGAAAAAAGACCCAGCATAGAAGCTGTGGTCTCGCTGGTTGAGCTCCGGCAGGCTTTCTCTGTGGCTCGCCAGTTTTTGGAGCGAAAACTTTTCTTTTTCCGCGCAATTTCCACAAAAGAGGGTAAACCTCGATTTCGACAGAATTTCAGCCACAGAAAATGCCTTTGCCCCCGGAAAAAAGACCCAGCATAGAAGCTGTGGTCTCGCTGGTTGAGCTCCGGCAGGCTTTCTCTGTGGCTCGCCAGTTTTTGGAGCGAAAACTTTTCTTTTTCCCCGCAATTTCCACAAAAGAGGGTAAAAACCTCGATTTCGACAGAATTTCAGCCACAGAAAATGCCTTTGCCCCCAGAAAAAAGACCCAGCATAGAAGCTGTGGTCTCGCTGGTTGAGCTCCGGCAGGCTTTCTCTGTGGCTTGCCAGTTTTTGGAGCGAAAACTTTTCTTTTTCCGCGCAATTTCCACAAAAGAGGGTAAAAACCTCGATTTCGACAGAATTTCAGCCACAGAAAATGCCTTTGCCCCCAGAAAAAAGACCCAGCATAGAAGCTGTGGTCTCGCTGGTTGAGCTCCGGCAGGCTTTCTCTGTGGCTTGCCAGTTTTTGGAGCGAAAACTTTTCTTTTTCCGCGCAATTTCCACAAAAGAGGGTAAAAACCTCGATTTCGACAGAATTTCAGCCACAGAAAATGCCTTTGCCCCCAGAAAAAAGACCCAGCATAGAAGCTGTGGTCTCGCTGGTTGAGCTCCGGCAGGCTTTCTCTGTGGCTTGCCAGTTTTTGGAGCGAAAACTTTTCTTTTTCCCCGCAATTCCCACAAAAAAGGGTAAAAACCTCGATTTCGACAGATTTTCAGCCAAAGAAAATGCCTTTGCTCCCGGAGAGCCCAGCATGCATCTGCATTGGTCATCCTTTTAGGAAAGCAATTATCTTGATTTTAACTAAGCAACGAAAGAAGGAAGCTGTATTAAATAATTTAATTTGGTGGTGGCATTTGGAAGGAAAGATTAGACATTTTTGTGTCTACCTGCGAAGTTTGATTTTTCATTTTAGCTTCTTTAGAGAGGAGATGTGAACACCTTTGTACTTAGATGCAGTCCCAACTAAGCAAATACTGATGTATCTGCCCCGACCCACTTACAGCGGCCCGTAGGGCCGCTAGTCTTATATATAAAGCTGAATGTCTGTCTGTCTGTATGTCTGTCTGTCTGTCTGTCTGTACGCATGTGCGGAATAGAAATTTTTATTTCTGAACCGATTTGGACCAAACTTGGCACACATATACTTCGGGGCAGGGAGCGTGTCATAGGCTACTTTTCGTTATCGATCGATATCGATTTTATCGATTTTTTGCAAAATTTGAGCTACGGGGCTGGGAGTTGGCACAGGGGGGTAATCGAGCATGCTGATTACGAATATAATAATGACAGGGCCGGGCGGAGCCGGGTTTGCCAGCTAGTGGTCTATTAATTGAAGCTATCCCACTAGTACTCTCAAATGAAGCGTCGGTTTTATTTTCTCTTTCTCTTCATTCGTAGCATTTAGGTTACGAATGGCTGGCTACCTACAGAGGAAAAATATCCGAACCAATACATCCCACTCGGAAAAGTTTCGAAGTTGGTAATGTGCACAAACAGGATTTGTACGTATTGAGGAAAATTTGAGAGTAAAACACGATAAAAATCACATATCACCGTTGGTGCTTTCAAAATACGATGAAATAATTTTGGATTTTTATTGATATCAATCGGTCAGATATGGAAATTTCTACATGAGATACATGACGAACGTAAAGTAGAAATAAGCAGCGAAACAAAGAAAAACACACATGTAAGACACTTTGTAAATCACATTCTTTGGCAAGAACTATAGCACATTTTTCTGTCTCAATGAGCAAATTGGCAACACATATATGTACATTTTTCAGGCACCACGATATTAGAGCAATTTTTAAGAACATTTAGATGTAGGACACTATGCTTCTTATATACAAAGCAAAATAGATCACAGAAAGCGTTACTATTCCACCAGACAAATAATGGAGTTCTCTACAGCACTAAAATAACATTTCTGAAAAAGAGTTTCGATCTGAAACTTGGTCTAAGGCCTCGGGCAGACTTCACGCGATTTGATCGTCGCGACTGAATCGCGACGAGACAACTGTTACAACATCATTCCATGCCGATCAACTTGCATTTCGGTTGTGATACTTTTCCAGCCCGAAGTTTTTGAATGTGAAATGAAAATGAATGGAAATGTCTGTCGGCGATTGAGTCGCGACGATCAAATCGCGTGAAGTCTGTCCGGGGCCTAAAGCTGCTAGTATACATGCTGAGCCAAATAAGCAGATCTAGTTATTGCAACACTCGATAAGTCAGGTCAAGCTATTCAAGATGAATTGGCGAACTGTCCTTCGTTTCTTGGATGCGGTTGCGTTCTACGTACAATTTCTTTATTCAACACTGTACGCATCCTTTCGTATCTAAAAGAGAAAACGATGAATTGTAAAATGCTGAACTACGCAAATACGCTAATTTGGTTTTCTTTTCACTAGCTTGATAATTTTCCATGGTTGTTCAAGGTAAGCGCAAAATTAGGAGATGAACTGACCACACATTCAAAACTAAGGAAAAACACGTCAGATGACTGTGTGCAACAGTTTAACACTACACACTAACCTCCGCACTGTATCAATGACTTCTTGTTTGTATAACTTCAACATCATCTCTTCATAATGTTCCAGCTGCATTGTGTTGAATAAATCCCACTGTAAATGATGAATGTAGAAGCTTTGAAGACTTCTAGAATTTTTCCGAGATTACCTCCAGCAGATGATCCAGCGATGTATCAGCTTGCGAATACATCAGCAACCATTCGGGTACTTCTAAAATTGTCATATGAATTTGTAAAAGTACCTATAAGCTGACCGAAATAAAAAGGTGATCGGTGCAGAAAATATTCTACAGCTAGATGGAACCACCTATCGTATTAGCTTTATGTAAAAAACGGCTTGAAGGCATCGTCCACCTAGATTCTAGACTTCCTTTTAGTCGTTCCGAGGCCTTCTCATGTCCTTGATTTCGAATGTGAAGTCGAGAATCCGCGAAAACCCGATAATCCCCTTTCCGTAGAACCGCAAGCTGGTTCTCCGGAACGGTGATTGGATGGGCGCGCAGGAATGGGCGGGGCATTACTGGAGGGGGCGGTGCCGACTTAAGTTCCTCAAGCCTCTTCACTATCTTAAAGCGTTTTTCTCGCTTCCGAAGCGACATTTGGCGCCTCGACTTAGACACTGGTTTGATATTGCAAGCTAATTGCAAGCTCCACCATGAAGAGAAGCTTATACGAACAAATGTGAAAAAAGTTCTTATTGTTAGTCACAACCTGAGTATAGCACCTCTTCTTCATGCAGATAATCAAAGTACTAAAAGAAGACTCAAAGCGGAAAATAAGAAAATAAATTAATTTACCTTCGTGATGTATTATATTCAGATGTTCCACAGCACTTTCCGTGCGTCGACTAGCTACCATCATAGATTCTGTCCTGTTTATTGGGACAATAGGCTGATTTATAGGTTGATTTAGTGGCTGTGCCAAACCTGGATGCTCGACCTGAGATCGTCCATCCATTTCACTAAACATCAACTGATTGTTTGCTGAAACACACGCTGGCACATTCAAAAGTAACATGGTAATCGTGGGTCGATCGATATGACAAATATAAAGCATATGAGAAATAGTCTAAACTGAATTACGAAAAGAGGTCCAAATGCTGAAGCAAAAAATCCACGAAAATGGAATCAAGACCGAGCATACTGGTCGCCAAAAGGAATTCCCATGCCGGGAATCGAACCCGGGCCGCGTGGGTGAAAACCAGTTTTGTTCAGAATGAATCGGTGGGGCTGTACGCAGAAAGTTCGGCGATGCGACCGCATTCGGAATCAGTTGTTAGTGTAGCTTCTACGTACTCTTTACCACCATCTCACAGCCATCTTATGGTGAACCATATCGATGCTGCAGATGAACGTAAGAGTCCGATTGGAAATCTGTCATCTCAGAGTTTTAGGTAAGTTTGGGATCAGCCAACTTTACTACTATATTTTTGTTTTACAAAATCAGCAACTGTTTTACTTTGTATATATAAGAGGCCGCACCATTGTTTGTAACATGGTTGTCGAGAATTGTCGAAAGCTGTCTCGGAAACCCACTTCCTTTGATTTTTCAATTTTGGCTTTGCCTCATACTCGCCTAAATAATGATGTTCGATGTTCATCCGTCGACTTAAAATAATTTTCACCTCGGACTTCATATTAAACTTCATTGCAGCGATCCAAGCAAGCGAGAACACCTAAAGAAACCGCTGACATCATCTCACAGCATCGGGAACGTAGAATCGTTCATAGACCTGGGCGCAGAGTTTGTTCTTCGGAAATTTTTCAAACCAATTTGTTGTTTGCAACTATTTGCTTTTGCAGGCACGTCTCTCCAGCACAGCAGCGATTCGTCTCCTTGCAAAGTCTGCCAGGTCAAGGCCGACAGTTTGGCTCTTCGATTATAGGTAAGCTTTTTTCCAACTTTTATCTCTCTCCCCTTTTTACGCAATTGCTTTTCAAGGGGATAACTGTTTGGTATCTGGTGCTCCACAACAAGATGAGCTAGAATTACCCTTACCACCTAATTGGGCTATAGAAGTGACACCCGATGGTTATAGGTAGCAGTTTGATCTGGATGCACATTTTCTACCATATCAAAACCGTTCTAGATACTATGTCGATCATAACACCTGTCGGACGCACTGGATCCATCCTCTAGCCCGTGAAAACTTACCACCAGGATGGAATAAGATTTTCCAACCCAGCACGGGTGTCATTTATTACAAGTAGGTGAAATTATGATGTTTTCTCAAGTTTATAAAAATTGGGTCCCTACCGTCTTGCATACGTAAGAAACACTACTGGTTCTTAGCAGATGTGCTTCGCGAAGCAGTATTCGCGTACTTGTGGCTCAAGTCGAAATTATTCTCCTTGCTGCGCAAATCCCAATCCGTTGTATCCCATGTGGTCTAGTGGTTAGGATTCGTGGTTTTCACCCACGCGGCCCGGGTTCGATTCCCGGCATGGGAATTCCTTTTGGCGACCAGTATGCTCGGTCTTGATTCCATTTTCGTGGATTTTTTGCTTCAGCATTTGGACCTCTTTTCGTAATTCAGTTTAGACTATTTCTCATATGCTTTATATTTGTCATATCGATCGACCCACGATTACCATGTTACTTTTGAATGTGCCAGCGTGTGTTTCAGCAAACAATCAGTTGATGTTTAGTGAAATGGATGGACGATCTCAGGTCGAGCATCCAGGTTTGGCACAGCCACTAAATCAACCTATAAATCAGCCTATTGTCCCAATAAACAGGACAGAATCTATGATGGTAGCTAGTCGACGCACGGAAAGTGCTGTGGAACATCTGAATATTAAGAGCTATCAACAATGTGTTTTTGTAGCAGATCATTTGAGATGAAGTGTTAGAATTCTTATAGTTCAGCGGGTGCTAGACTGAATTATTACTGAAACGCTGTCAGTAGAAGATATGAAACGTGGTATGAAACAAAAGTTCAGAATGCACGAGCAAGTCACCCATCGAAGGAAGGAATATATTTTGTAAGAGAAAGGATCAATTGGATATCAATTACGTTCAAATATAGATTGTAGTAGCAAACAGAGGAGCTAGGAGGAACAAATAGACCCAGAATGTGACAAATATGTCTCTAATCGAACTGAACTGAAACATCATCAAACAAAAAGCCAAGCAAAAGACTACGACGTCTATCACCACATTATCACAAAATACAGTTTCTAAAAAGAAAAGTTCCTCGATCATGCGTTGTTAATAAATATTGGACGACAGAACAAGAGTCAGCCGAAAAGCGGGACCTGAAAAAAAAACCGAGAAACAACTACGAACTAAAGAGATCGAGCCAAACTCCCAAGCATGTCGCAGATCATAAGATATGGCAGGAAAGAAGATGTGAAGCAGCCCGATTTTAACCATCGTCTGAAAAGAAAAAGGAGAAGAAAAAAGGCAGAGTAAATATAAAAGAAACACATATTTTGTAAATGAGGTTCTACATCTAAAAGTAATCAGATTCGTCAATACCTAACAATTTCAAAAGATCGCATTTCAAAAGTTTTTTCCTGAACAATTTGGAGTTAGTAGAAGAAATGACAGAATCAGGTAATTTCTGCATCCAACGTGCAGTACGGACAAAAAAGGAGTCATAAAAAGGCCTGGTTAAATTTGTTGACGCTATTGAATCAGCACAGTAAAAGTTAAACCTACCTGTACGACCGTAGCAAGGCTTCCAAACCCAGAACTCACTAGGTAAAAGCTTAGTCTCAAGACGTAATATTTGAAAAGCAAGTACTAAATCGGCAACAATCCTTCGGTAAAGCAGGCTACGGAGCTTGAAGCGGTCCAACCTACTTCTGTAGGACGGGAGGGCAGTTGGGTAATCGTCGTTAGGGATAAGTCTATAGAAAAGGATACGAGTAAAAGTCATTTGAACTCTTTCCAAAGTCAAAATATCCTTTTTTATATATGGACTCCAAACTTGGCTAGCATATTCTAACTGTGGGAGGACATAAGCCATATACATTCTGATGTAAACTTTCTCATCAACATGCTTCAAGTTACGTAGCAAAAGAAAGAGTCTACGCAGGGCTGCACTTGCTAATTTCTCGATGTGGGATCTAGATCGAAGCTCTTGATCAACTAGTACCCCAAGATCTCTTATTAGTTCAGGTCTGGAAAGAGAAGTACCAGAATGCTCATATTTTTCGAAGGTGCATTCATTCACCTTTTTTCTAGAGATTGTCAGGCAGGTACTTTTCATTAGGTTAACGTCAATGCTGTTAAGAGACGCCCAAGTCAGAATATTCTGTAGACAGCCTTTTAGGGCTTGAGTCACCTTCTCTCGATCAGAATCAGTATATGATGCAAACACTTTGATATCATCTGCGTAGGCCATAACCTTAACTCTGCTGTCAGTAGCCAGAAGTCCTGGGAGGTTACTGGTGTAAATATTGAAAAGTAAAGGGGACAATACACCACCTTGTGGTACTCCACTAGTTGCTGGGTAGAAGGAAGAGTCGGCACAATTACAACGGACAGAAAAAGTCCTATTAGACAGATAAGATGAAAGCCATTTCAATGCAGTTCCACGAATTCCTACTTTGAAAAGCTTTTCAATCAATTTGGAAATGTCAACTCTGTCGAAGGCTTTAGACAGATCAAAATAAAGAACATCGGTAAATCGCTTTTGAGATAAAGCTTTTTTCCAATAATGTTCACACACCACTAATTGAAGGGTGGTCGAAGAACCTTCAATGAAACCGAACTGCTCAGCTGGGATGAGATGGTTTTCTGCACAGAATGCCAACAATTTTCTTCTGACAACCTTCTCAGCAACTTTACAAACAACAGAGTTAATAGATATCGGCCGAAATTCGGTAACTTTACATGGACTCTGAACCTTAGGTATAGGTACGACTTTTCCTTGCTTCCATATATTTGGAAGCTCGCCACTGCTCAAGGAAAGATTGATTAATATAGAAACAGGAGTAGCTAACTGATTGGCGCATTTTTTGAACACAATTTGAGGGATGCCGTCAGTGGTCAAAAATGTGGACGATTTGAGCTTTTTCAAAATGCCCAGTATCTCCCAAGGAAACACCTGTGGAATTTGAGAAAGGCAGGAGTGGTATGGTCTAATGTCATATTGAGAATCATTGATGTTAATGAGATTCGATGGAGTTCGAAAAACCGATGCAAAGTAGCGCCCTAGATGCTCAGCTTTCTCTTGATCTGTCTTGATCAAGCTTCCTTGGTCATCCCGCAATATCTGCACCGTAGTTTGTTCTTTGAGGAAAGAACGAGCATATCTGAACAAAGAGGCAGTATTCATCGTTGTTAGCCTCCTCTGTTTGTAAGCACTAAATCTGGCTAAGTGTTTAGATAACTTATTGGTAATGTTCTTATATAGTATAGAATCTAAGGGATTTCGAGAAGTAAGGAATAAACGGTTTCTTTGCTCAATCAAGTTCTTGATGTGCAAAGGATAATTGCAAGATCTAGTCATTCTCTTTTTATACGGGACAAATCGCGAAAGCAGGTCATGCAATAATTCAATAAATCGTTGATAGGCATCATTGATCGAACTAGCATCAAGTAATGTCCACCAATCAACAGCGTCCAAAGCGGATGAGATGGCCAAGTAATCACCGCTCATGTAATCAAGATAGGAATCCACACAGGATGTATCGATGGGTATTGAAAGATCAAAATGAACACATGCATGATCAGATCCACAAAGAGGAGGTTTAACAATTACATTATGAACAATAGGATTAGATGACAAGACGAGATCCAACACATTGTTCATTCTAGTCGGATGAAAAACATGTTGAACAAGCGAAAGTTCATCAAACAAAGTCATGAATCTTTTAGATGTAGGACATAAGGGGATCTTATTTGACCAATCAATTGCAAGGTTAAAATCACCTATTAGGACGACATTGGAATGATTACTACAGAAGTTTTGTAGAAAATCGATAAGGTAGGAATCATTGTTGAATGTAGAGGAGGGAGGGCGATAAACGAGAATGATGAAACAGCTAGATTGCGACTCAACATTGGTGATATTTAATGATAAAATATCGGTCATTGGGATGGCAGGAGTAGGCACATCTTCACATAAAATGATATCACGAACAAGAACGTACAAACCTCCCCCACGTCGTCTTGTTTCGATCTTTACGGAAAACCATGTAGGGAAGACCATGACACAATTCAGAAGATTCAACGGCTGGGGTAAGCCAAGACTCAGTCACAAAGATAATGTCAGGTTTTTCATGAATGAGAAAAAGACGAAACAAATCAATTTTGTTCACAAGGCTACGGGCATTAAGTAGGATACAACTCATCATACAAGTACCATGCAAAGAATTTAGTTTTCCTGGCGTGGATTCTGTCCTCTATTTATATCAGTGATTTTGACCACCTCACCCCTATAGACCACATAGCTCTTATAGCCCAAAGCCTGGTTTTTTCACGTGCTTCCCTGCGAAGTTCAAAATGCCTCTTGCGTTCATCCGCGGTGAGACTAGGTCTGATAAAGACATTAGAATACCGCGGATTATTCCGCAAACGTTTTGCCCTCCCAAGGACAGCAAGACATTGCGATCTAGCCGGAAACATGACTTTGGTTAAACGTGGTTTCTGTGTAACCCTACCAGTACTCTGCGTTGATACCACTGCTT